GCATAAGACATCATATGGTATATGTATATTTTAAGCATATCAATAAAACAGTCATATGTCACTGGCCAGTTCAAAAAATAACATCACCGGTGCCCTCTGTGTGTCCCCTCCCTGATCACACCTCAATCCCAGAGATTAACATTAGACTGTACTTGGTGTTTATCATCTCTTTTGTTTTCCTGGTCATTTAAACCACATATGGGTATTATATATTATTGTTCTTGAACATGATATAAATAGTATGATACTGTAGATAATCTTTGGCAATTTGCTTTTGTAACTCCGCACGTTCATGAGATTTATCTTTGTTGTGTTATGTAATTGGGATTCATTTTCAGGGTCATAGTTTCCCACTGACTGAGTGTAATACAATTGATTTATCTATTCTCCTGCAGATGAATAAGGGAATTGTTACCAGGTTTTTGCTATTACAATTTGTACTGCCATGAACTTTCTTACTCAGGTTCTTATGCAAGTGTGCAGAAGTTTCTCTAAAGTATACACCTTGAAGGGATATATTCCATTTCACAAACGAATGCCCAATTATTTTCCAAAGTGATTTCCAAAACGGTTACACCAAGTTTTGCTCCCATCAACACTGTGCAATCATTCTTCTTGTTCCACATCCTTCAAACTCTCGATGTGGTCAGACTTCAAAATTTTTGCCTTTTAGGTGAGCTTGTACATTTACCTTTCCCTGATTATTAATGAGGTTGAACTTCTTTTCATAGGTTTATTGGTGAGTCATTTTCTGTAAACGGATTGTTTATATTTTCTGTCTATTTTTTTATTTAGTTGTCTTCTTACTGATTTGTTGGAGTTCTTGATTCTGGATAGCAATCTTTCTTTCATTCATTTGTTGTAAATGTCTTTTTCCAGTCTATAGCATGTGATTTTGTTTTGTTTAAGAAAACTCTATTCTGACATCATAAAACTATTCTCTTATATTTTCTTCCAAAAGTTTGAAAGATTTGTCTTTCATGTTTAGGTTTTTTATTCACCTGAAATTGATTTTGTGTATGGTTTGACGTAGAAATCTAATATAAGTATTTTTTCTCACGTAGATAATTGTATTAGATCCTATTACCACTATAACAAATCACTATCAATCTAGCGGCTTAAAACAATACAAATTTATTATCTTATAGTTCTGGAAGTTAGAACTGGCTTTCACTGGACTAACATCAAGGTGTCAGTGGGGCTGCATTTCTATCTGGCACCTCAACTCTAGCAGAGCTTGAGTTTTCCTTTTCCAGCTTCTAGATCCTGCCCTCATGTGGTGCCCATCTATCTTCAAAGCCTGCAGTCGCCAGGCAAGTTTCTCCTGCCTCACATCACTCTGATACTGACCCTCCTGCCTCCCTCTTTCATTCATAAGGACCCTTAAGATTACATTGGGCCCACCTAGGTAATCCAAGGTAATCTTCCCACCTCAAGATTTTTAGATTAATCACATCTTCCAAGTCCCTTATGGTGTATAAGTTAACAGAGTCACAGGTTCAGAGGATTAGGACGTGGACCTCTTTGGGAGAGCATTATCTTCCTTCCCATAATAATCAATTGATTCCATGCAATTTATTAAATCTTTTCTGAGCCTGTGTATAGGGGAGCACTGGCCGGGTGGTAATAATAATAATAGCAAACACTGAGTACTTACTTACTTTGTGCCAAGTATTATCTCATTTATTTCTTACAATAAGATTTTGTGCTAATTGTGCCAGGTATTTCTCTAAGCATTGTATACATATTGTCTCATTTATTTCTTACAATAAGATTTTGTGCTAAGTATTACTATTATTCCTGTCTTAAAGATGAGTAAAGTGAGGGATAGAGTAGTTAAATACCTTGGTTAAGTGGGAAGGATTCAAACTCTGGCAGTGGTGCTCCAAATTCCTTGTGCATAAGCACCATGCTATTGTTGAATGAACTAACAAAATAAATAAATTTAGCCTCCCTTAGCTGTGTGCTCAACCTAAGTAACCTAACTTCTCTGAACCTGTTTCGTAATGTGTAAAATTGGAATAGTCATGTATTTCTTCTGTACCCACAGGGTTGCTCCTAGGACACATTGAGACAAGTGTTATGAAAGTTGCTCAGATAAGGAAAATGGGTTCCGAGAGTCATTCCGCTGGGTGTCACTGGCAGAGCCAGAACTGTACTCAGGTTTCCCGGCAGCCAGGTAGGGGTGGGCTATTTCCACCGCAGGGTGGTAACTGTAGCAGTTACAGATTCCAGCCATCAAAATGGAACATTTCCCTTCATCGACCTCCTGCCCTGCAACAGCCAGCATCAAAGCTATGTCTGTTTATTTAATCAATTGTCGTTAAGAGTGTCACCAAGTCCAAGATGATGCTGTTACAGAACCCAAATATAATACTTATTTGCTGAAACAGAATAAAGTTTGCAAGTATTATTCAGTATCAGTTATGAATCAAGGGGAAAAGGAGAATTTCAGAAATTGACAGAAAAGGAAGGCTGCAAGGTATTTGCTAAAGAAATCCTCTCCCCTTACCTCTTCTCTATCCTGATCCCATCAAGATCTACCCCTTTTTGCTTTCCCTCCTTAGTGGAGTAGGGATCAGAAAAGCTGAATTTCAGCTTTGGGGTAACCACTGACTTTTCTTTTTGCTTTGAACTTCAAAGGCAATACTAAAAAAAGAAGAAAAGAAAAAGAGCAGAGAGTGGGAGGATCTACTCTACCAGGTATTAGGACATAAAACAAAGCCATAGTAATAACCTCAGTGCAGCACTGATGGTACAGGAACACAACTAGATCAATAGGACAGCGACGAGAGTCCAGAAACAGAGACATGTGTCGGTGGAGACTTGGCGTATGATACAGACAGCAACACACGTCGGTGGGGAAAAGATGGATTGTTTGGTGGGTACTGCTGGGAAAACTGGCTCACTTCGTAATGAAAATATATTTTATTCCTAGACTGGATGAATTAAGACCCGTGATAGGTAAAAATATGAAACTAAATAGGGGAAATGCAGGAGAATATTTTGTGGTCATGGGTAGAAAAGATCCTTAAATGAGATCCCAAAGCAAACTCTGCAAGGCTAATATTTGATGGATTCGTCTACACCAAAATTAAGGATTTCCCCTACTTTGTAGGATAGGAAAGACCAAGCTAACAGGATGCGTGAAAGATTGGGAGATATTTGCAATGTCCAAGACTGACAAGGGATTAATATTAATAATATATAAGAACTCTTTCAATTCATTCAGAAAAATAATAGGAAATCTAACAGAAAAAGGCAAAGGATGTCAACAGGTACTTCGCAGAAGGAAGAAATTTCAATAGTTCTTAAGTATATATGCAAAATGGTTAATATCACTAATCATTAAAGCAATACAAGTAAAAATTATGTGACGTTACTTTATTAAGCACTATAGACTCCATGATTCCAGCAATTCCATGTCTGTATTTTGGTCCATGAGAGACATGTCTAATACCTATCCCAGCATTATCTGCAGTAACAAGGAACTGTTGGCAACCTAAATGTCCTTTATTTAAGGAATTGATCAGTAAAATGTGTTAGGTGCACAAATCCAATACCATCAGTGGTAGGGGTTAACGAACTCCTGTTATATATCAGTTTCTCGTTTTTCCAACATAACGCCTTATCTCTCTAAGGTGTTATCTTGAGGGAAAAACAAGAAACTGAGTGCGTTCTTAGCACAAAACATTCATGTATATTGAAAATAGATACACAAATTAAAAATAGTATCTCTCCAGGATCTATACTTGTACTGTGACATATCTTAAACATATAAGAGAGGGTGCAAACGGAGGGTAGAGAAATGGGCGTGGGGAGAGGAAACGAGTGGAAAGGAACAAAATCAAAGAAGGGCCTTGCTGACCCTTATGAGCTGAAGAGTAAGATCAGCATGACACGTCCCTAAGGTTCACAAATCACCCCAGTCCCACTTTCATCACTTCTTGTTCTTAATAGAGTCCAAGGCAAGAGACTCAACGTGGCTGCCCAGAGCAGGGCCTCCCTGTTTAAAGGACCTGCCTTTCTTCACCCACCTTGCCAAGCGCTCGCTTCCCCGCACTCAAGTTCTACTCTGACTGCACCGCCCACAAGCAAAACACGCCCAGGCTCCATCCAAAATGACCTTACTCTTTATTATTCATTTCTCTTGGAAAAGCCTTATTGATCGTTTAAGGTTTAGTTTAAGCGTCTCCCGTCCCAGAGTCCTTTCCTGACCGCTACCTATCACCAAATGCTAGCCCCTCCAGGACCACATTCCCATACACCCCTTCCCCATCACGCCGGCACTCGCCACGGTGTAACTACTTATTTTGAGTACACATCCCGCCCCAGGGCTACCGCCGAGCTTTGTTGCTCCCTAGGTCCACATCTAGGCTGCTGAAGTGGGCGGTCCCACGAAAAACTGGAAGGTTTACTCTAGCAGGTTAAGCAAGACCGCAGCCCACCTCCCTCTCCTTTGCGTCCCCTTTCATTTTTTCAGCCTCCTC